TTGGGAGGGTGGTCCCCCCCCTGCCTCTGCCGCGGGAGGAGTCCCTGCTCCCCGCTGAGTCCTGGCTGTGTGGGGGGGACACGAAGGGGGCTAGCAGCTCTCTGACTGAGGCAGGGCAGGGAAGGGGGGCGGCATGACGGCTGGTCACAGCTGGGATGGGGCATCCTGGAAGGTGATGAGGCTGGATTCCTGGCTGGTGCCCTTCCCGGCCACACCAGGGTCGGGCAGCAGTGGGCTGTCAGCTTTTGCCCCCGCCTCCTCCTCGTCATCCTCCATGCTAGGCCAGGCTGACTGGTCCTCCACACGCTTTAGCCGCTCGTTCAGGGCCTTCAGGGCCAGCTGCCTGCAGGGCAAGGGCAGACGGGCAGGTTAACCCCAGCTCCAACAGGCAGGGCAGGGGTTAATGGCTCTGCCCCATGGGGCACTGTGCAAGGCCATCCCTCTCTTCTTCCCGGCAGGAGAAGGTGGATTCAGCAGTGCTAGGGACGACCTGGAGCGCCTGGGACTGCCCTGCAGAAACATACTCATGCTCCCAGACTACACACGCAGAGTTCTTTTGCCACGTGGTGTGCTCAGAGGCTGTCAAGACGGCACATGGGCCGCTCTGGGAACGCGGGAAGAAAGGTGTAAAACAGGGCAGGGGAAAGCGGAGCGCCAACGCCTTGTCCAAACCTTCCTGCCGGGTCTTGGGAAGGCCAATGCTGGGCGTGCGGGAGGGCTGGCGCATGGGGCTGACTCAGCGCCTTCCCCCGCGCCACGATGACGGATGCGGGGCTGCTCGAGCAGGAGGTTGGTGCCTCCAGAGGCAGCTGCCGTCCCCCTTCTATAGGGACCCCTGACCCTAAACCCTGCCTGCCCCTTCCCCAGGATCTCCTCGTTCCTCCCCTGCACTCCCACTGCTGCTCCATGTCTGGAAGAGTGGGACAATGTCCCACCAGCACCCTGAAATGCTCCCCACCACCTCTGCAGCAGGGAGGGCAGCGCCCAGCAGATCCCCTGGAGAAGGCCCCCCCTTGCACCCAATTCTCCCTACTCCTTATTTGGATTTTAAACCTGATGCTTGCTGCCCATAAACATGATCCCCGTGGAAGCGGGGTGAGTGGTACCTTCTCCTCTCGGCGTCCTGGGGGTCCGTCCCCGGCAGGCTGATGGTGATGGATGATGGGGCACCCACGTCATAGCGTTTGACCGTCTTGCGGCAGACCTTCACCTTCACCAGGACGCCGTGCACCAGGTTGGCCACCAGACCCACCACGGGCTGCAGGATCTCAGGAAAGAAAGTGGCAAAGGCGAAGTGGTCGGACATGTCTCCACGGCCTCTACTGTGCCGCTGGTAGAAACGGAGATAGACCCAGCTGGAGAGGAGCCCAAAGCCGTACGAGGCCAGTACATTGCTATCGACGAGGG